CCGCGTTGGGTAGCGAACACACTAAATATGTGCTAAATATGTGCTAAATTTGCGCTAAAGACGCACTACACACGCACTCGAACACACACTAAATAGCGCACTAAACTGTCACTAAAGTTCATTCACACGCACTAAATTTAGACCCAGGCGCCCTCCTTGAGAAGAATTTCACCGCTCCCGCGCGGGAGGCTGTTGAGAAGAGAGAGGAGGCGCTCAGCATCCGCAACCCCGCCCGTTTGCATGCCCGGCCGGACGAAGGCTGGCTCGGCCGGCTCCCGGCGCGGGCACGCTTCAACGGCGGCTACTGCTGCGCCGCTCTCGCTGCCGAAAAGGATCGAAGCGGCGGCGGAGAACGGCAAGGTGGGCGTGGTGCAGACGTGGCTCGCCGGGGATGGGCGGGTTGACGCGACGTGCGTGCATCGCGGCGTGAGTGGCTGTACGCTCCTGCTGATCGCCGCCGAGCACGGTCACAAAGAGCTAGTCGAACTGCTGCTGAATCGCGGCGCGGAGGCGGACGCGCGAGACAGCGACGACAGTACGGCGCTGATGGTCGCGGCCGCCAAAGGCTACGAGCAGGTGGCCGAGATGCTGCTGCGGCACGGCGCAGGGATCAACCTGCAGAACAGTCTCTGCGGTACCGCGCTGATGCTGGCAGCCTTCTACGGCCATCCCGCCGTGGTGCTCCGCTTGTTGCGGGCGGGCGCAGACATGAAGCTGCGCACGTTGGTCGGTGAGACAGCGCTGCAGTACGCCAAGGAGAAGGGCCACACCGAGTGCGTCGAGGCCTTCAGGACGCATCTCAGGGAGGTGACGGCAGCTCGGATCAAGGCTCCGTCCGCCGAGGCGGGCGGCGCAGGGGCGGGCGGCGCACCCGCAGGCGAGGCGGCGGCTGGCGCCAGTGCTGCGGCCTCTGCCTCGAGCGGCGAGGGCGCGGAGGCCGCGCCGGGCAGCGAGGCGGTGCCGAATGAGGTCGTGCTAGCGGCTCGGCGAGGCGAAGATGCGGCGGTGCTGGCGTGGCTCGACGGCGGCGGGTGGGTCGACGAGAGGTTCGAGTACGTCTTTGGTTGCGGCACTCGTGCGAGCGGCGTGACACTGCTGATGCTCGCAATGGCCAATGGCCACGCGGGACTGGCCGAGGCACTTCTGCGGCGCGGCGCGGACGTCTCGTTGCAGAAGAGCGACGGTGGCACTGCGCTGAGCCTCGCCGCCGCGAACGGCTACGAGAACCTGGTCGAGCTGGCATTGCGGCGTGGCGCGGAGATCGACCAGCCAAACAACAAGATTGGCAGCACTGCGCTGATGGAGGCCGCCTACAGAGGCCACGAGCAGGTTGTAGACACGCTGATCCGGCACGGCGCGGAGATCGACATGCAGGACAACGACTTCGACACCGCTCTGATGGCCGCCGCCCTCGGCGACCGTCCCGCCGTGGTGCTTCGCTTGCTGCGGGCGGGCGCTGACATGACGCTGTGCAATAGCAGTGGCAAGACTGCGCTGCAATGGGCCAAGGAGAAGGGCCACGCCGAGTGCGTGCGCGCCCTCGAGGAGCATGCGGCGGCCGAGAAGGCGGCCGAGAAGGCGGCGAAGGAGGCGGCGTGGGTTGCTGGGGCGGCGGAGAGGGCGGCGGGGAGGGCGGCGGCAGAGAAGGAGGCGGCGCGGCACGCCGAGGAGCTGCTGGCGGAGGTCGAGGCGGAGAAACGGGCCAAGGGCAAGAAGGGCAAGAAGAAGAAGAAGAAGGGCGGCGGGAGCGGCGGCGCTGGGCCGTCGCAGGAGGCTGAGGCGCCGGCAGAGGCGGCGGCGACAGCCAAGCCCGCGCCGTTGGACAGGGAGGGGTTGCTCCGGCTTCTCGCGGAGCTCCACGAGGACAGGATCCGGTTCGGCATCACGCCGGAGACGTCGGTCGAGGGGCTGGCGGAGGCGTTGGGAGAGGCGGCGGGCGAGGCGAGCGAGGAGGAGGGCGAGGAGGAGACGGCGGAGGCGGCCGAGGAGGAGGACGAGGAGGAGGGCGAGGAGGAGGGCGAGGAGGAGGGCGAGGAGGCGGCAGCGGAGGCGCGCCGGCAAGCTGAGGCGAAGGCTGCGGCTGTGGCAGCGGCAGAAGAGGAGGAGGAGGCCGCGGCGGCGGAGGAGGCGGCGGCAGAGGCGGCGCTCGCCGCAGCCAAGGCGAGGCGCGTCTCGGCGGCCGCTGCGAGGGCGAAGGCGCGGGAGGCGGCCTAGCCCACGCGCCAAAGAGGACTGCTGGCGCAGACCGCAGTGGCAACCATGTGTGGGGAAGGGATTCGAAGGGTGTCGGCAGTGTCGCTCGGACTTTGGCAACATATCGCGAATTTACCACTCTCGGAGTGTACACTCTACGGCTCTACGCACTACGGACACGAGATACACAGAGTGACACACGTGTGTTCGTGTACTCATACAGAGTGACAAAACACTAATTGATTCAAAACATACTACAGCGTGACTAGGTCCAGCCCTGTGGGTGGCGCAGGTTGTGACATTTGGCGATTCCGCGACTTACATCTTACTGGGCCCCTGAGCCGCTACCCGTGTGCGATTTTTTGTGGCCCGGACATGATACTGATAGTAAACGGGTCAGAACCGGCCAAACACAGGCTACAGCCCCACACACGCGCCCGCCATAGCTCCTGGAGAGCATGCGCGAGTGACGCGCTGCAAGCCGCGAGAGGAGTGGCATCAGAGGCAGGAACGACGTGCTCTTGCTGCACCTCGCAGCTGCACCAAGTGTGCTCGCAGTGTATGCCACGGCCACTGCCTGCGGCATTGCTCTCGTGCAGCTAGGCGACGCAGGTCCATCAGCAGGGCTCATCCAATGCGAGCGCACATTGTGCGTAGCCGCGGGCAGGTGGCAGTGCACAGCCGCACACCGGCTGTGGCGGCTCGAATGCCCCCGGCAGTGCTGCTAGTCATCAACTTGCGTATTCGGGCCGCAGCAGACTGCTGCTGTGGCAGCAGCAGCAGCCTGCTGCTGCCTGATTCAGTCAAGCCAGCGGTGCAGCGAGGCGTGCAGAATTCGCGCGGTTTGGTACCTCCTGAGGCTGAGCGCGTTCAGACTCGGTGACCGGAGTTGGATGGTTCGATGGAGCTCCCGCGAGCTCCATCGAACCATCCATGGCCGGACGGCGGAGCGTGAGGTGGCGAGCGGAGAGATGTACGTCAAAAAAAGAGCTGTACCGCAAGACCAAAAAAACACTGACGATTGTCATGGCCATGCTCTCGCACACGCCTGGGGGGCCGCCCGCGTCGCCGCCTGCGTGCGCGCCTTCGGTGCCCCGCTCGGCGCTCCCCGCTCCGCCCTTCTCGCTGGCCGCGAAGGCGTCGGCGCTCGTCCGGGGGTCGTGCGCTTCGCTGCTCGCCTCGTCGGGGAGCCGCGTGTGCGCGACGCTCCCTCCTTCCACCGGCAATGGAGCCGCGCCGTGTCTAACGGCCCCACGGCTAGGGGATGGGCTGCGGCCGGCGATCGGCGCGCGCCCACGGTCCGAGCGCCGCTTCTCGGCGCACGCGGCGCGTGCGGCCTCCCTCGAGCGTCGGGACACGGCGCGCGCGGTTTCCAATGCGAGCGCCGCCTCGGGGTGCAGGGTCGCCGCGACGATGGTCAGCGAGGGCGGCGGTGCCCCCAGCCGCACTGCTTCCTCGCGCCGTGTGTGCACGGCCTGCAGTGCGCTACAGCTCTCGCGCGCCGCCGTCAGTGGCGATGCGCAAAACATCAACAACGCTGCTCGCAACATGCGTGTCGCGCACTCATTCATGACCGGTCTCAATGCCCCACCCCCCTGCGCGCGGGCCTTCTAAGCCCGCGGGTAGTCCCCCCCCATCCCCAGGGCCTCCAGGGCTCGCACCTCAACCTCTCACAGGCCAGCGCACAGCGCGAGAGGTATTTTCTTCTCAAGAACAAGGCTGTGAAGGACGCTCGCTTGCTAAGTTTGGTGATGTCGAGTGCGTCTGTGCCTGGCCGCAGCGCGGAACCGTCATGGTTGAGGTAGGGCGGTCGAGTCGAGCTGCGCTCATTCTCTTCGCCTCCCACCATAAGACGGGCACCGCGCTGAACGCGGCGCTTACGCGCGCAATGGTGCAAGCGCGGCCAGGCACAGTGCGGCTGATCAACACCGGCCTGGGCGATGGAGTCAAGAGCAGAGGGTACTGGTGGGAGCCGGCTGCCCTCCGAAGCTTTCTGGAGGACTCGCCGGACGGTGTCGCGGTCGGGTGGAACGAGCACGCATACCAGTGGCCGGCGGCAGAGATGCCCGCCGTGCGGTGCCTCGTGCATGACGTGCGGGACCCTGTGTCGATGGTGGTGTCGGCGTACCTGTACCACATGAGGATAGGGAGGTCAAGGCCGCGCTGTGGGGCACGGCTGTGCGAAGATTGGCTCTACTCGCGCCAGCCGTTCCAGCGAGGAGACTTTTGCGACTTTATCTCGACGAATGCCAGTCTCGGTCTGTACGGCAAGCTCGCTCTCGCCAGGTGTGACGCGGAGGCGCTGCGTTGCCAGCTGGCAGGAAACACGCTGGGCACCATCAGGCAGATGGATCACATGGCGGCGTCGGTCCAGGACCACGGCCCGCGCGCAATCACACTCGACCTCCTGCAGGACTGGGTGGCCGACTTTGAGGGCACTCTGCTGCGGGTCCTCCGCTTTTGCGGCCTCGACGACGGCTTCGCGAATGGCACGCTAGCAGCGTACAGGACCGCGGCCGTCGCATCAAAGGGGGTGCACGTCAACAAGGACCTGGACCGAGCAGAGGCGCTCGCAAACCTGCTCCGCCGGGCGTGCACCACCCCCGCTGGCGAGCTCGACATGGAGTGGTGTGCGACCGGCGGGCGCTTTGAGGAGTGCGGACCGAACGTTTCCTATCGCTGTAAAGGAGAGGTGCGCAGCTCCTGTTGAGATGCGTGCTAAAATACACCACATTTTTGGCACACAAATGGGGGAGAACGAAATCGGGCATGGCACAGTTTCGCCGAACCTCCTCTGCGTAGTGACACGGCGGGGCGCGCTCAGAGGGAGCGAGGGAAAGCGGGGTGGGGCTGGGGTCGGGAGACGGAGAGCACGAGAGAGGCGGCTAGAAGCGGCGGCGGCGGCGGCCGCGCGCTCTCTGCAGGCGCGAGGGAGTTTCCGCCCTTCTTTGTGTGGGGTGCGTGGGGCCGCGGCGTCACCAGCGGCGGCCGCGAGGCTTTTGCGAGCTTCCTCTCCCTCCAGAGAACCCTACGCCACGGTGATGCCATGAAAAGATCGTGCGGTCGTCAACGGCGCAGCCGCCTCCCACGCGTTCGTCGCGGGGTCGTATCGCTCAAGCGAGCTGAGGGCCTCGTTCTCGTCGTACCCGCCCACAGCGTACAGCTTGCCATCGAGCGCCGCAGCTCCGAGGATTGCGCGAGCCTCCGCCATCGGCGCCACCGCCTCCCACGCGTTCGTCGCCGGGTCGTACCGCTCCACCGAGCTGAGGAGGTCGTAGTTCTGGCCTCCCACAGCGTACAGCTTGCCGTCGAGCGCCGCCACGGCGAGAGAGTTCCGCGCCTCTGCCATCGGCGTCACTGCCTCCCACGCGTTCGCTGCCGGATCGTACCGCTCCACCGAGCTGAGGGAGCCGTTGTTGTACCCGCCCACAGCGTACAGCTTGCCGTCCAGCACCGCCATGCCGACAACAGCTCGCCCTGCCGCCATCGGCGCCACCGCCTCCCACGCGTTTGGCGCGGGGTCGTACCGCTCCACCGAGCTGAGGGTGCCGCCGTCGCCGCCGTACCCGCCCACAGCGTACAGCTTGCCGTCGAGCACCGCCACGGCGGGATTATCGCGTGCCGTCGCCATCGGCGCCACCGCCTCCCACGCGTTCGCCGCCGGATCGTACCGCTCCACCGAGGTGAGCCAGTCGTCGTTGTACCCGCCAACAGCGTACAGCTTGCCATCGAGCACCGCCATGCCGGCTTCCCCTCGTGCCGTCAGCATCGGCGCCACCGCCTCCTCCGCCCACTCGTTTGTCGACGGGTCGTACCGCTCAAGCGAGCTGACAGTCCCACCCTCGCTGCCGTGGCCGCCGATCACGACGAGGCGCGGCCCCTCGCGCTTCTTCAGCGTCTCCTTCCAGCCGCGGCGCCACGCGCGGCACGTCCCCTTGACGGCGTGCGCCGTGGTCGGCAGCTGGGCGAGGATGTGCGGGGCGAGGTCCGGCGAGAGGAGGACCTCGGAGAGCACCCACTCGGGCTGCTCCACGAGCCGTACGGCGTGCTCCTCCGCCACGCGCAGCGCGGCGTCGCTCGCGTCCGCCTGCGCCTCGATGATGGCGCACAGTTGCTCTGGCGAGAGGCCCGCGACGCGCGCGCCGATGCGATGAGAGGCCATAAAAGTACAGCAGCGGCACAAGGATTTCGCTCGTGCGGTACCAGTTTTTTGTTGCCGTGTGTTCATACCCGGGTATGTGTATGTATTGTAGGTATATTGTCTGGCATTTCAAGACACAGAGCTCTCACAGAATCACAGCGGGAGGAAAGCGGCGAGTCGCAATTCCTGGGGTCCTTGTGGCGGGCCACCCTGTCCAGAGAGGCATGGATGCCAATCTGGGGTCTCTCGTCTCTCGACCGAGTCTGATTTCGCCTCGCCGCCTCCCGATGGTGGTAAGGCTGGAGAGCCAAAGCGGCGGAGATGGCGGGGGAGGGCGGGGGATCGAGGAAAGCACGACTCGCACCCTCACTCTCACTCTCACTCTCTCTCTCTGTCTCTGTCTCTGTCTCTGTCTCTCTCTCTCTCTCTCTCTCTCCCTCCCTCCCTCCCTCTCCCTCTCCCTCTCCCTCTCTCTCTCTCTCTCTCTCTCTCTCTCTCTCTCTCTCTCTCTCACTGTGTGTGTGTGTGTCGTCTCCAGGATGCTTTTGGTTTTTTCGCCTGTGTTTTGCCCTACCTCCAATAAACAAAATACGCCGCCGATTCCACAATGCTGCACGCGTGGGCAACGCCGGGCAGGATGTCGGGCCCACCCGCACGTCCTTGTCGGAACGTGACCAAGGACGGTCGAAACCGCGACGAGCACACCACCCAGCCAACCAATGTCGGGCAGCAGCGAGATGGAGAACACTGACATGAACAACATGAACAACACAGACGCGAAGATCAAGACGGATGCTCTCGGCGTCCTGCCCGAGTCGCTCAACGGCGGGACTACGGCCAACCGGCAGCTCATGGCGCACATTGGCCCGATCCGCGCAGTGATTGCCTCGAAGCTCGGAGTGAAGCTGGATCACATGCGCATCTCCAACAAGATGTGGAACGTGCTGAAAGAGCTCGAGGCAGAAGACCGCATCAATGCGGTCAAAAAAATGGAGAAGGAGAAGGACATCTACCGCGATATTTCCAGGGGCAATTTCGTGGTGAGCAACAGCCCCCCAAATAACAGCCCCTATTCTCCCATCCTCCTGCGCCATGCGCCAAACACTTCGCGATTTACCGCTGAGAGCCGTCTTGACGATGCAGGTCTACATGTCCAAGGAGGCACAGAACGCTGGGGACTCCAGAACGCTCGAGGAGACGCTCGAGGACCGCGCTGCACGCATCGAGATCCCAAAGGAGGTGCTCGCCAAAATTGACGCCTGCTGGCAGCTGGAGGAGCAGTACAAGATTGCGTGTACGCAGCTGCACGAGGACAGTGACGCGGTGACGCTTGTTGCGGACGAGGACGGGGAAGACAAGTCTGTGACGGCCCCGGCCTTCACGGCCCTCTCGGAGCGCGCCAAGATGAAAAAGCAGCAGGACCAGGAGGAGAAGGCCGCAATGCAAGACGCGGACAAGATCAAGATCGAGCAGTTGCTCAAGTCGGAGGAGGCCGAGCTGAGCCTTCTCGAGGACAAGCTGGACGAGCAGCGGCGTCGGAAGACGAGCATCGATGACGAGCTGGGCAAGGAGAAGGACCAGCGCGACACGCTTGAGAAGGAGGCTGTCGCGCTCGCTCGTGTCGTTTTGAAGAGCGAGGGGCAGGAGGCGCGCGACAAGGAGCTGCGGAAGCTGCGGGTCAAGAACCTGGAGGCGATCAATGGGAAGGAGGAGGAGGCCACAAAGCTCGAGGACTCCATCAAGCAGTACAAGAAGGAGAAGGCCGATCGCGATGCGAACATCGCAAAGTATCGCGGCAAGATCGTTCAGAAGCGCCCTGCGGCGAGCTCGGAACAGGGGGGGAAGAAGCAGAAGATGTGAAGCCCTCGATCGAATGTTCTTGCGAGCATGTGCATGTCCTCATCACATGCCCTGTGATATCCCATGTTTACGTCTTTCCTGCGATCCTGCGTCGCTCTGCTCCGCCCTCTAGCCTCTTGGCTAGTTCCAATTCACTCTGAGACGCTAATCTTGAAAACGCGTCCAACGGAGCTCCGTGTTGCTGCCAGCGGAATCCCCCGCACTTCCTGCGGCCATGGCCGATGATACTAGTATGAGAGGTCATCTGGCTACCGCGAGAGCGACCCAACTCGTCGACATCGTCCGATGATGGTGCCGCAAAGTCAGCCTTCGGAGGCTATCGTGGGGTCGAGCCGGCAGTAGCCGTGACATGTGGTTCCACCACCCCTCGTAGGCTTTGCCTCTGACCGCCACCGTTCCCAGGCTGCCTAATGGGATGGAAAGGAAGGCTCGGCGAGCGTATAGAAGCGTGCTCGACCTCGTCGTGGCAACCTGCACGGCAGCGCTGGCAGGCGCGATGAGCGTCGTGCCACCTGACCCGAGACGGGTCGCAGGCGTCGTACCGAGCGCGTCGAGACCGTGTCCTGATGTGATCTGCACGGGTGAGTCACGTCGGCGTCAAAGGAGCGACGTGCGACCTGTCAGAGCTTGATCTCCGATCTCAGCGGCGTCGAGTCGTCTCCGGCGCGCAACAAAGGTACATACCCAGGACGCGCAGAGGCAGCTGCGATCGGAGATAGAGCTCTGACAGGTCGCACGTCGCCTGTTGGACGCCGACGTGACTCACCCGTGCAGATCACATCAGGACACGGTCTCGACGCGCTCGGTACGACGCCTGCGAACCGTGTCGGGTCAGGTGTGACGTCGGCCTTCGAGCTCGGCAGGGGTGCCGGGCCGGTCCTTGAAGAGGGGCGCGATTCTGCCCGTGTAGTCCGGAAAGGGGCCCGCCCCCTCGGGGCCAGGACGTCC